TGCTCTCTGACTGGTGAGCTAAAGCCTAGCAAAGTATACTCCTTACTAATGCCTTGTGGCCATGCCTGGGTTCCCTTCTCCCAGAGGAAGCAGTTGTTTCCTTGGAGAAATTCTTTGTGAGGTTTCAGGTTTTTCCTGACCTGCTCCTTTTTTTTAAGTATTGTTATTTTCAGTAACAACTTCATAGTGAACATTCCCCAGTGAGGAACATGTGTTCATTAATTGCCCATAGTAAATGTGTTGTTAGCTACTGGGTCTCTTTTTTTTTTTTTTTTTTCTCTTCAGAAAAAGAACCAAGTCTATGAAATTTGTAGGTTCTCTTTTTTGAAAGATATGATGCAAACAAAAAAGGATATGCTGTTCAGTGAAATGTTTGTGGCTGTACTGTTTTCATTGCTGACTGTTTGTATCTTAATTCTCAGGCCATTCACAATTCCTCAGGTCTTGAGACCTAAAGGACAGGAGGAAGGACTGGAGGAAGAGGAAGAGGATGAAGAGGAGGAGGAAGCTGACAAGGAAAGAACAAAGGTGACATTTAGTTTGTGGTTGCAGTTGCATTAAGATTTACCATATGTCTTATCTGCTTCACCTGCAGAGTGATATGGAGTAGACTTCCTCTTTCAGAGAGTGAATCTTTTAACAGCAGCATGGAGACTGAGCTGCTTTTCAGAGTGGCTACTTCTGCGGTCTGCTGGACTGTGAAATGTCCCCTGAGTACAGCTATCCACTGCTTCCTAGGCTAACCATACTGAAGCAATGACACTTACTCCATGGAGAGGTTTAATCTCCTTGATTCCATAGACAGATGATGCCAGCAGGACACTTTGAGGGTCACTAACGCCCTGTTGTCATGGATATACTGGAAATGGTGACGTTGATGGTGTTGCTGGCAGAGGTGGGATGTGGGAAGAAGTCTCAGTCAGGTTTTCTGCAAGGTTTTGTGTTTAGAGTCACTGACACCAATCCTGCTGGCTCAACCAGAAGAGATAATGAACAATGAATTGACTCTGTTCCATTATCCAACAGAATCACCTCCTGCCCTAGCCTTTTGCATGATGCTGATGAGTTTACTGACCTCTTTCCTTTCTTCCCATGGTAGGACCATTTTGTGCAGGACCCAGCTGTACTGCGGGAGAGAGCTGAAGCCAGGCGGCTAGCTTACCTTGCAAGGAAAGGGTAAGTAAGCATCTCCCTGTGTGGGATGAAACTGTGGCTCCACAGTTAGCAGGTGTTTTGCTGCTGACTGGAATTGTTGAGGGTATACCTGTTCTTTAACATTCCTGTATGTCAGGGTCACTACCACAGTGGTGTTAACTTCCTCACCCAACTTCTACTTCACTGCTGGTTGTTCTGTCCCATCAAATGGGTAGGCACATCCCTTTGTCATAAGCAGCAGAACCTTGTGCAAGACAGGATCTTAGAAAGCACAGCTTCCCAGAGCTTGAACAGCTCCCACAGGGATTTCAGAACAGTTTAATAGCTGGCTTTAGCTGATGCATTCAATGTGTAGAAGGACGTAGTTGTTGTGTGGGTAATGCTGATACTCAGCTATTGCAGAAGCCCTGCAGAGCTGGGGTGAGCCGAGGCTCAAGGCCTGACAGCTGAACCCCTCACGCCCGGTTGTCTCTCGGGTTCGGTGTATTTTGTCCCCCAAGTGTGCAGCATGATTGTTGTGATGTCCTTTTTCTGTGTACTACAGGCACAAGCACGACAGCTCTGCTGTTGTTGGGAGTGTGAAGGGCCATGGGCAGAACCGGGAAACAGTGCAGGAACGAAGGAAGAAGGAAGCAAACAAAAGCACAAGAGCTAACCATAATCGACGAGTCATGGCTGACAGAAAGCGGAATAAAGGCATGATTCCTTCCTGAAAGACCAGGTGTTGGATCATCCCCAGTCCTCTGCTTAGGAGGAGACAGTTGTGCTCCGTTCCCTCGGCACCCCCTTCACTCAGGGGACTGGGTGTCGTGGTTCGGTACCTGGCACTTCAGCTCATGCGGAATTGCACGCCCTGCGGGAGGCCTGCCTGTTCGTGGGAAGGAACTGCCCTCCAGGCTGACCCTGACTGCTTTTCAGTTTATAGAGATGTGTGTATGACGGTGGGCTGCACCGCAATGCATTGGACAGGCTGCACCAGCCATTTGTTTCCTTTTGTACTATTTATAATTCTGAGAATTTTATTTTCATACCAGCTCCGTACGCCCTCTCCGCAACTCAAGTGGGCTTCCAGGCCACACAACGGGCAGCTCTGAGAGCAAGGCTTCCCTGGAACAGCCCTCGCAGTTTTCTGCTCCCCTGAAATGCCTTATTCTGAAGTACAAGTTGAAGGTTGATAAGAAAACGCTCAGGCTATTACCATTGCCAACAGACACAAAGGAGTTCAGGTGAATAAGACCTTATAAATTTCTGTCCCTTGAGTGAGGCGTGTGAAAACGGAACATGCAAATAAATGATTTCAATCTTTTAGTTGGTGTTTTAGGCTCTTACACACGGTTTGTAAGATCTTTAACTTGGAGGAACCTCAACAAGGCTTTTGATGTGCTCTATCTGCAGGTAGTGAAATTCAGTTGCTGTTTTGTGTTGGTTTAGTGTGATGAGATCTAGCCACAGCCACTGAGACTAAAGGTACTTGAAAATCAGGATCAAGGCATCCTAAGCAAGATGACAGTAGTATGGAAATCACAGCTGAAGGCAGCAGGGTCAGAGTCCCTGGGGAGCTGCCTCCTCAATAACCACTTGTCACACTCTGTGAAGCAGAACTGCCCTGATCATCACGTTTGCTATTGGGAAGGCTGGGAGCTAATAGTAAACAGCAGTTTGTAGTTGCTGGAAAGACTTCTCCTGAGGGCTGTCTTTTGTTATGGAGTTGTTCCCTAGGCAGGGAGACACACAGATTACAGAGTTTACCTTGTGACCTGTTTGTAAGGTGCGCGAATGCCATGGCAATGGCTTACTACACTGTGCCTAGGCAAGTCTGGAGCATCTTCCAGTAGCTGGTGATAATACTGTTCCAGTCGCTGTTGTCACAGAACATTAGCATGTTTTTAGAGTGCTGTGCCCATCATGGAGCTGAACTTTCAAGTAAACAATTAGGCTTTGCTTGGCTAATCTGCTCCAAGTGCCATCTCCCCACTGCCACACTGTTTTTTCTAGTACTGCAAAGGTGCCTGTGGTTGTCATCTGCACACTGAGAAAATTAGCAGTGGGTTATGTAGTGTTAGAGCTACTGTTCCAGGGTAAACCTAGTGCTGCCTTCCCACTTCAGAACCCTGCAGGAGGAGTGCTCTGGTAATAAGCTCTGTAGGCACGTACATTGCTGCCTGGTTTTACGCAGAGGGCGGGGACTATGGGGCTGTATGATTAGCACCGCTGCCAAACACTATTGTGCTGGGGCTGTCTTCAGAAAGTGTAGAAATGGCTGTCACTATTATGCAAATAAGATGAAGTCCTGAGTGCTCTGAGGACAAGATTTTTCTTTGCATATCTGTACTGCCCAAACCCCCTAATGACAAGGCATAGGAAAAAGGGAATTACGTTTACCAACTTCCCAAAATCCACTGTCAAGGGCAATTACCTGCTAGCATAACTAACTCTTCTCTAGCTACCGTTCTCCGGACTAATAGCTTTATTTACTCTCTGCCAGTCTGCTACAATGCTGTCCCCCCCTTCCTAATACTGTATTCATCTTTAGTTCTTGCTTCTAAGATGCTGAAAATCTCTGTCACCTGCTCAGCATAGTGTGAAGCTATCAGCACTGCAGACAGAGCTGGTAGGAAAGCAGGCAGTCTTATACTGTACAAGATTATCCCAGGAAAGCTTAAACCGTTCCTCTTAAGCATCTCTAAAAGCACAGCTGGGACTGTGAAAGCTGTAGTTGTTTTTTTGCTAAAAAAACCCAAGCATAATGTTTTTTAAGTCCTCTGTGTTCTTGGAGTAAATGTTTTACTCCTGACACCTATTTGCAAACCCAATAAAGCTTCTTTCATTAGCACTGGCTCTAATTTGCTCTGCCTCATCCATTGCTAAAATGCCTCCTTATTAGTGAAAATATGAGGAGGGAGAGATGAGGCTTCTGGCCTGGGAAAGTGGGAAGAGCAGGAGTCAATCAGTCGCATCTTCCTACAGCCAGCTGAGAGCCCAGAGTAATTAGCTGAATGATTACCCAAAACAGTACCTGAATAGCCCTTTGATGTGAAGAAAGATGTGTTTGAAATGGCCACTGAAAACAACAGGGGTGGACTCGTATGTGAAGTTGCTGAGAAGAGAATTACTCCTTCCACTCTAACAGCCAAGGGCTGGAGCCGCACACACAGCCGAGGGGTGGATGCTCCTTGCAGAGCTAAGTGATTCCTCTCCCTTCACAGCAGCTCCCCTTTGACCAGAGAGGACAGAGGCAGGCTTGTAGAGTACTACACAGGCCTGACAAGACAGTTCTGCCCCTCAAAGAGCTGGAAGGCACAGTAAGAGCTAGGAAAGAGATCTACATCCCATATCAGCAGGTTTTGGACAAGCTAGAAGTTAGACACCATCCCCATTTTCAGCCCAGCAGACTGACAGGCACGCACATGCACTTGCCTGTGGTAGTTCAGAGGCTCAAAGGATCAGTGGTGAGGCAGATTTCTCACTGGTTAAGGCACGGGTGGCAGCAGCATCTGCTGCAGCTGTGACAATGTGACTGGCCAGGAACCAACCCAGTCCTGCATCAAAGATGTAAATGATTTTAAGTCACTTTTCTCTGAACAAGACTAGAAGAAAGGAGACAGCTCCTTAGCCCTCTCTTAAAGTTCTCATCAGGCAGAAGCCAAGGGTAGTGCCAGTAGACCACAGCCGTATAAATGCTTTCAAGTCTTTCAAACCATTTTTAGGATGTTGCGATTTTCTTACACTGTCTTGAAACTAAGGTGTAGGGCCATATTTAAGCATTCTCCATCTCCTAAGATAAGGAGAAGTTACAAGCAGGCCAAAGGATAAGTCAGGTGAACACACAGGCATGAGACATGGACCAAGAAATTTTTATTTTAACACACAGTAAGTTTGAGTACAGCAGCAGAACTCCTTGAGTCCATCTTGGTTTACATCATATCAGTAGACAGCTGATATAATCTGGCTCGGAGTTGTTCAATCAAGAATCCATCTCCATTTTGATACAACCGGTTTCAGGAGGCCGAATCCTTCTCTGTGGTGTCTTTTGCCACCTCAGGCTGGATCCTGCTGCTGAGCATTTCAGTCTTCACTTGTCTCATACTTGTGCTTGATGTGTTTCCACAGTTTCTGTAGGCAAAACAAACAAAAAAAACCCCAAACGGTAATCTTAGCCAGCTTTTCAGCAGCCCTGGGATAAGTTTCAGTTTAAAATGCGAGTTATCGTGAAACCTACATCCGTAACAGGCAACAGCAAGATGGGAAAGAAGAGTTTGTATGAAAACACCTCCACAGATACCACCAGGGTACACGACAGCGTGGGTACTGTCATCCTGCGCTTCCCTGCTAAGCGGGGGCACACCCTGCTCCGCAAAAGCAACAGTCCCACACAAAGGTTTCAGGAGGAGCAGGAGCAGCTAGACAGCAGCTGAGAGCCACCAGCCCACACTCATCCTGCTGTGGAGGAGGCGGCAGATGGAGTCCTCTACCTGGGCCCAGGGCTTTTAGACTAGGCAGGGAGGAAGCTGCTGACAGCCCGCTTCCCCTCTTCTCCTACTCTGCAAGCCAGAGATTATTAGAGCATTCCAGTCACATTGCCTCAGCTTCCCACTCAGACTGGAGAAGGCATCCACAGGTACAGGATGCACGAAAGAATCCTATTCCAGGCACTGAAATCTGCTGGCACAATCGGGACTGAGGGAAGTGCTGCGCAAGGCCAAGGCGCATGCCGCACTTTGCTGTTTGTTGTAGAAAATGCTTTAGATTTTCAAAAAAAGTTAAATTCCTCGATAATTTTGTTTTCAAACCCTGCGTAAGGAAACGTTAGCATGTAGAAAATGCTACAGTTAAAAAAAGGAGTCCAAAGCTGAAGTTCAAATTGATTTTTTTGTTAGCTTTTAACAAATGACTGTTGCTAAAAAGGAGGAGAGGGGGACCCTGCTCTTGCTCTTTACTGTATTTCCTCAGGTACCCCCCAACCCCTGATGCGTTACTTCAGTGCAGTGAAGGTGTTACTTTGCATGGTATTGGTTTTCAGCTGGTTTCGTGACCAGGTTCAGGAGGCCAAAGAGCAGATATCACGCTGTCAGGAAAGGCGCAGGGCAGCTCTGTTCAGCATCAGAGCCGTTAAGATGACCTGGCTGTCCTGGGAAACTGCGCCCTGGGTGCTCCGAGAGACCCATGGCACATCAGCACTGCAGGACCGGGAAGAGGACCACTGCGCCGCAAATGGGAACGTGCAACCCGCTTCAGGTTTTTTTGTACTTGGTGCAAGAGGGAAATAACAGCACCTCCTGCCTTCTCTTAGGGCACGCATTGCGTCACCTCGTCTTGTCCAAGAAGCCGTTCTATGTCCTGTCCACATAACACGGCGTCCGGGCAGTCATCATCCCACCACAGCTCTGCTTTGAAACACAAGGATGACTTGACCCATCTCATCGAACGCTCACACCCGGGACAGCAGACCCCGCTGTCCCGTACAGCTCTGCATGTTCGCCCCTTCCTCTGCCAAGGCCTAGAGGGCTACAGACCTGCGGAACGCGAAGCCAACTCCATCCGTTTTAACCTTCCTGCGTCCCACCGCCTTGGAAACCTTTTCCCCAGCGGCTCCGCAGACCGGAGAAGCCCGAGAACGCACCGAGCCCCTGACTGCCAAGCACCGCCGGGGCGGCTGCCTCAGGGGCAGCGCCGAACTCCGGCCTCGGCGCTTCCCTCGGCGACCGGGAAGCAGCCGCGGGGTGCGGGGCCGGCCTGACCTTCAGGGCCCAAGGCCTGCGCCCGGGCGGACCTCGCCGCGCGGCACCCCCCGTTCCTTACCCCCTCGTTGAGGTGCTCGAAGATGGCGTCGGCCCCTTGGTCGAAGGCGCGTTCGAAGAGGACGGCGCCCAGGACGATGGTGAGGGCGAAGGTGGAGGTGCGGCGGAACAGCGCGCTGTACGCCTGCCGCAGCAGCGCCATCTTGCCGGACCGCTCGGCGCATGCGCCGCCGGACGCGAAGGGGCGGGGTGACGTGGCGCGGAGCCTTCTGGGAGATGTAGGCGCCGCTCCCGGCAGGCGCCGCGCGGCCTAGGCCCGAGTCGTGGCCGGAGGTGAGTGCCGCCCGCGGTGTGGGGGGCTTCGGCCCGGAGGAGGAGGAGGTTTGAGGGGCTTTTCTCGGCCTGTGGGTTGAAGCACCGTCCCCTCCTAGCACCGCTTCCCTTCAGCGGCTTCCGCTGGGCAACCCGAGTCTGTCTGTTCTGCTTTTCTGAGGTGAAATCAGCCCGTTATAGCACGGGACGGTGGGCTAAAGGCCTCGTATCAGCTACAGCAAAACAGGGCGTGTTGGGTGAGCCCTTCCCCGGCTGCTGGACGGGCCTAATGCCGGCCGTGGAGTCGTGGGGGCAGCTGGGGGCGGTGGGCCTTGCTGGGGAGCAGGAGAAGCCTGGAGTGACCCATGAGGGGTGAAACGGAGAAGAAAGAGGGTTTTGCGTTAATGTCCTGTTCTGCTCACCCCCTCGGGGAGGGTGGGGGGTAGTTTGGGTGTTTTCTGGTTAGTTGGGCCAGCTGAGGAGGGCAGAAGGCAGCATCGGTGTAGTCTGAGCAGGAGATGGATGCTGTGGCTAGCAAAAGGCGGAGAACGCTTCGGAGGCCTCGGGAAGAGCGGGACGTGGCCCCATGTGGCGTAACTGAAGTGGAAGCGTTGTTGTTTGCCGCCCTCTCTTTGTGTGTTTTCTTTCTGCTTAACCTCGGCGAGGGCGAAGGGGCTCCAGTGCTGATGGGGCAGAGAGGTAAATTTGGGGTTGGGAAGGGAGGACAGACAAGGGGGGGCAGGGGAATCTTAAAGTTGAAGTCATCCCTCCACAGGATTGTTGTTAAACAAGCATCTACATTAAATTTCAGAACAGATCGTCAAGTAACACTCACTCTGTCGTTTCATTTGTCTCAGCCACTCAGAAAGAGCATGTGGTCTGGCTGCGTAGTCATTTCTCTTAATTTTTTTATGTTTGGTTCCCTGCATGCAGCTACTGTGGAGATCCGTGGGATTTCTGGGATAGGGTAAAGCCTCTGCTTGTGCTGGAAGCTGCTACAGAGGCTGGAAGGTGCCTAACTTATTCCTGTGCCCTGTGTATAGTGTTAGACCTTGGGCCAGCCCTTCGAAAAGCTGAATTATTTTTCAAAGTTAACTGCTAGGGATTGTCTTTTAAGACAAATCTCCCCAATAGCCTATAAACTGCTACCACTGTCATGCGTTTGTGTAATGGTCAGGTCAGTGTTAATCCCAAATCCAGCTCCGGATTTACACCGGGTGTAATGAAAATCAGAATCTGGCCCTCTGTCATTGTGAAGGTGCTGGCAGACTCTGCCGGCGTTTTGCGTGTTCCCGTAGAGATATGAGCACATTTAAATTGGCAGCTGAGTATCATAAGCTTGACACTTGGATTTAATTAACTTCACATCTGTCTAGATATCCAAAGTGGCTGAAATGGCCCTGAGCCTGGGCTATAAGAAAGCAGGAAATTGAGGTCAAGGCCCAGCAGCAATTCTCAGGGTTCAGCGTGGAGAAAAGCAGTTACACCCAGACGAAAACAAGTCTGCCATATGCCCGTTTCTGGGTCACCTTCTTCCCTCTGTCCACGTCTCGGGGAAATCGGTGAAAGAACCCCTGGAGAGTCCTAAATAAAATCTGTAGCTAACAGAGCGCAACGTGGAGTGTTTTGGCAGCAATTTGAGAAGGGAAAATTTAGGATGGCGCACAGGAGATCTTGCCTGGAGTTTTACCAAGCACCTCAGCTAGATGAGTGAAACACCTGCTAGGTGTCTTAGAACATGCTATTTCTCATAAAACATTGCTCCAATGTAAGCCTCCAAGAGGCTTACAGCAGAGGATTTTTTTGTTAATACTTTTAAGCATCGAGATACAAGACAAAGCCCTGACTTTTTTGTATTTGGATTTATGCAGAAAGACTTTTAAGCTGGTACAAAGCCTGTCTGAAATCGTTTATGGTTGCCTGTGGGTCCAGGGGTCTATTCGCCCGAATTCAATTGCAAATTAGGGTCTAGAAATGTTAAGAGGAAATGGCCAAGCTGAAGCAGTTCTTTATAAAGCAGCTACATTTACTTTATTTCATAATGACTAAGATGGATTTAATTAGAAAACATCTCTGTTTTCAACTGAATAATGCTCTTTGTTTACTGTTTGAGCCATTTGGGAAAATGGAAATAGGTTAGCCAGTGTTGCTCAGAAGCAGCTTTTATTCCTACATACTAGTTCAGTGCAAAGCGCTGTGGATTGCTGATACTGCAGAGAGTTGTCAGAATCCAGCCAAGATAATCCATGCAATTGAATTCTTAAAAAGATGGAAATAAGTTCAGTGTAATCTTTGGAGGGGGCGATCTCTGGGAGAATCTGATGCTCCTCTAATTGCTTTTTTTATTCCGTTCATCCCCTGCAATGGGAATTGCTAGGAGAATCTGGGAGCCGGCACCTCTGGGATGTGGGACCTAGCTGCCTGAAATCTGTAGGAGCTTTCTGCCCTCGTTGTTCGGGAAGGAGGGGGAACGAGCTTCTGCAATTATTGCTGTCGGGGTGATGAAAGGAAAAGTTTGAAATACGATTTCAAAGGCTGGCTGCTGCTGGGCTTCTGCAGGCAGAATTCCCATTGAGATCTGTGGAAACTTGTGTGGGACCACTGCAGAATCTCATTTGTTTTCCCCGTTCACAGCAGCCGCTTCTGCAGAGATGGAGTACAGGAACCAGCCGCTGAAGCAGGAAGCTTTTATGTTATCAGAAACTTTGGGAAATGGCATAAGATCTGGGAGGGAGATTTTTTTCAGTACTTAAAAGCCACAGCAGAGCCTGCCAGTGGGCCAGACACGGAGGGTAAGAGCGTTCCCTCTGGATTCCAGTAGCCCCACCACAGTGCAGCAAAGCTGGCTGCCAGGCTGGCTGCAAAACCCTGGGATGATCTAGTAAAGGATGGGGGGAAGTGATGTCTTAAGTTTCATTAAGCAGCACTTGGTTTTGGTTTCTTGGGCTGGAGTAGGACAATTTCAGACCTCAAGCCCTAGAGAGCTGAGTTAACTCCTTCCTAGCAGGAGCCAAGCCTGATTGTGTTTGCAGGTGAAACAGTTTGCAGTCACATCAGGGAGAGGTGGCTGGCTGATCAGCATCGCCTCCTAACCAGATATTCCACCTGGAGAACAAGGAAAAGGACGTTAAAACAAGGAGTCTTCAAGTTCAGTTGGAGTCCCTGAACATTTTACTTTCAGTGTGAAGGTTTGCAAGCCAATTCAAAAAAATCAGAAGATCGTTCCATTGAATGCAGATGGAGGAGACTACATTTTAACTGTGGTGTGAGGCCTGCGAGATTTCCAGGGGCTTGACTTTTGAAGCAGCAGTTTTCAGGAGTGGGGGATGGAAGGGAGTTTGGTGCGATTGCTCATGAGATGCCAGGATGGCTGGCTGGCAGGAGGGCTTGGCAGAACTGCCTTAGCTCAGCATGCTTGGCTCTGAGGGATTGCCTGTTGCTGCTCCTCTTCCCGCTGATTCTGAGGAATCGTTAGGGAGGCTGTGATTGATTCTGACCCTGTTTTATTTATAAAATCTTTATTTGTTGCACTGGTGTCTGTGCCATTTTTTAAATGCATTTGGCTGTCAAGGTGTCAAAAACTGGAGAATTGCTTTTGGAGTTTATCTCCCAGTCCATCCATCTTTGGCGTTTATCAGGTACCTTTATATCACTTGGGAGAGAACTTACAGCTCCTTCAGGCTATCTGTTGAACCTCCAGCAAGGACAGCAAATGGGGACAGGCCTGCACTTAATCACAAACCCCATCTGCCCTACCAGGGTCTGGGCTGCTCCAGGCCCAGCACAGATGAGAGCACTCAAATTCTGTCCCATTACTTCTCGGTACTCCACAGCAGAGTCTCTGGACTACAAATACATGTGTGATAAGCCTGTCTCTGCTGTGGGAGGAGGAGAACCAGGCATCTCCAGGTTGCTTTCAGTGGCTGTGGAGTTGGGGGTTCTTTCCTCCTGGCTGTAAGGCTGTTGTGATCTCAGTTATTGGAAGTGCTGTACTTGGTGAAGCAGACACATCTTGCTGCCATAGGCTGGGGAGAATGAGGAGAGCAGTCCTTGATGTAAAGGAGTAAATAGATGTCTAGGTGAACTGAACAAAATGTTATATCCTTTAGTGCTTGTAATGCAGCTTCTCACTTGCAGTACAGGTGAGATCAGCTTTTTTTTCATCTTTGAGGAGTTGCTGGGTTTCTTCCTTACCTTGTAGAGATGGACACGGCGGAATTTCCTTCCTCTTGCATGACAGCTTGTGGAGGTTGTCTCTGGTATGGGGTTAAAGTCCTGGGCCCCCAGGTGGAGGCTGTGGCATGGACCTCTAGCTCCTCCTGATTGCACATTGGATGGTTTCTGCTGCACCTTCCCTGGTACAGGTGGTGGCTGGGAGCCATTGGCTCTCTGGGGTCTCTGCTTTGTGTGACCTGAACTCCAGCAGACTCAGGGAAGGAGAATTCTTTCAGCAGAGGTGTTGTTTCTTTGGGTAACAGAGGTAAGCAATGCAGATCTGAGCCTGTTCTACCATGTACATGCAGCAGATGCTGCCTTACCAGTCTCTGATGGACAAGAATATATACTATTAGGTCTCACCTCTTTCCCTGTCTGCCAACCCTAAATGATTTGAATTCTTCTCCTTTGGAAGCAGGCGCTGTAAATCTTGGATCCTCCATTCCCAGGGCAGGCATGGCTGGGCGCCGAGGATCTGTATGATGGTTCCCAGGCCACGCTGATCTGCTCTGCCAGAAGAGAGATGGGGAAAAGATACTTCTGTGACTACTGTGACAGGTCTTTTCAGGACAACCTTCACAACAGGAAGAAACACCTCAACGGAGTGCAGCATCTCAGGGCTAAGAGAGTCTGGTACGACTTATTCCGAGGTGGGTACTACCAACTGTCTGCCACTCCCTTTCTGGGACTGGG